GGCAAAGGATCTGAATAGGCATTTCTCAAAAGAAGACACATGGATGGCCAACAAGTATATGAAAAAAGGCTCAACATTATTAGTCATCAGAGAAATGCAAATCAAAACTACAATGAGATATCACCTCACCCAAGTTAAAATGGCTTTTATCAAAAAGGCAATGACAAATACTGGCAAGGATGTAAAGAAAGGGAAACTTTATACACTGTTGGTGGCAATGTAAATTAGTGCAACCACTATAGAGAATAGCATGGAGGTTCCTCAAAAAACTAAAAATAGAACTACCATTTGACCCAGCAATTCCACTGCTGGGTATATATCCAAAGGATGGAAATTCAGTATATTGAAAGGATACCTCCACTCCCATGTTTATTGCAGCCCTATTCACAACAGTCACGATGTGGAATCAACCTAAGTGTCCATCAGTGGTTGAATGGATAAAGAAATTGTGGTATGCATACACAATGGAATATTATTAACATATAGCCACAAAAAAGAATAAAATCCTGTCATTTGTGACAACATGGACAAAACTGGAGAACATTATGTTAAGTGAAATAAGCCAAGCACAGAAAGACAAATCTCTCATGTTCTCACTCATATGTGAGAGCTAAATATTAAAAACAATTAATCTCATGGAAACAGAGAATGGAATGATGGTTACCAGAGACTGGGAAGGGTAGCAGGAGGAGAGGAATAAAGCGGGGATGGTTAATGGGTACAAAAATATAGTTAGCTAGTTAGATAGAATGAACAATATTTGATAGCATAACACAGTGACTACAATCAACAATAATTTAGGGTATAGTTTAAAATAACTAAAAGAGTGGAATTGGAATGTTCCTAAAACAAAGAAATGTTAAATGCCTAAGGTAATGGATACCCCAATTACTCTGATTTGATTCATTCACATTGTATGCCTATATCAAAACATCACATGTACCCCATAAAGATATACAACTATTATATACCCATAATTATTCTTTAAAAAGATATTAACTCCAAAATTCTGTACTTCACACATATTAACATAAACCTTTTATCATCCAGTAATTAACAAAAGTTATCATAGAGGTATATATTTAGGTTTCATCATTTTGGGCCCTAATACAGTTACTTTACTAAATAATTACATTTTGACATTATAACATTTATCTATACCAAAAAATGCAGCTGGGTGTGGTGGCTCACACCTGTGATGCCAGCACTTTGGAAGGCCAAGGCAGGAGGATTGCTTGAGGCCAGGAGTACAAAACCAGCCTGGGCAACACAGTGAGATCGCATCTCTAAAGAAAATAAACAAATTATCTGGGTGTCGTGGTACATGCCTGTAGTACCAGGTACTCAGGAGGCTGAGGCAGGAGGATTGCTTGAGCCCAGTTGTTTGAGGCTGCAGTGAGCTATGATCACACCACTGAACTCCAGCTTGGGCAACAGAGTGACACCCTCTCGATAAAAAATTAAAACAAAACAAAAAACCTATCTATAATAAAAAATGGAAATCACACAAAGAATTGCTACTCTCCTTTTGAATAATTAATATGTTTTTATCCAAGAGAGAGGAGAATCTCATAACTGATCCCCTTTCATTGTTTTGGCTAGTAAGAAGTTTGGATTCAAATCTGAAATCCACTTCCAACAAAACTTACAAGGCTTTGTGGTTATATTTTGGGCAAAAGCCTTTTACATTTCAAACTTAACACAACTCAGAAATTGTTTCATTAGTCCTCAGTCATTCTTAATTTTCACAGAACTCCTCTGGCTCCCTCCTCATTCACCTTCCTCTTACTCTTTAGATTTAGTCTCCTAAATCTCAGAGTAAACACACCCTAACCTATTTGACGTCTTTCAATTTCTTTCTCCTTTTGAAACAAATCTTTACAATTATGATCTACAAAACTCATTTATACTTTAGCTTCCTTTCTTTTGAGAGAAATAGATTTGTCTATAAATTTCCCTCTAAGTGCTGCTTTAGCTGCAATACTCAAGTTTTTATAATGATTTGTTCTCATTCAGTTCTAAATATTTTCTAATTTCCATTGTGATTTTTTTTCTCTCCAGACCAGGAGTTATTTAGGAGTGTATTTTTCATCTACCAAAATTTATTTTACTGCCCTTTTATTAACAACTTAAAACTTAATTGGGCCGGGTGCGGTGGCTCCCGCCTGTAATCCTAGCACTCTGGGAGGCTGAGGTAGGTGGATCACTC